CCGTGATTTCGTGCTCGTAGCTTGCGCGAGCCGAGAGAAATCGGCGGCAATCAATAAAGCGGAACTTAGGATTTTTATTGGTCGCAGAAACCAATCCTATTCGGATTGGATTTGAGTTTCTTATATTTCTAGCTGTCGAATACTAATGATTTTCCATAAAATGACAGTTTCTTGTTGTCTAGGTCCATCGTCTGCCTTTACTTATACGTGACTCATCAGGCTGACTCTTATTGCAACCGAAAGTTGGCCCGACTGATTTTTTTGGCCTGGCATACCCCCATCCCCCGGATTTGCCACGGATTCGACCGACAGACCTCTCACCACATCACCACAGAGTTCTCCCTCCATGATGATCGTATTGTCACCAAACAAACTTTGAAGGCTGTACGCACCACACCTGTAGAAGTCTTTGAAGCTAGGGGTGACTGCTGTGGGATCTGTGTATGCTGAGAAATATCAATCCATGTGAGCAAAAGTAAGAATCCGCGTGGAGGTTCCGTAGGAGATGCTTCATTAAATCAAGGTTTGGTGACAATCCGATCATCATGGAGGGAGAACTCTGTGGTGATGTAGTGAGAGGTGTATCTCTTGGTCGAATCCGTGTCAAATCCGGGGGGTGGGGGTATGCCCGTCCAAAAAAATATGTCGGGCCAACTTTCGGTTGCCATACGAGTCAGCTGCCGTTTCTTATTACGCTAGTTCTCCGTTCTTTCGGCAGCCATATATATCCTCCACCCGGTCGCCCCGGTGGTCTAGTGGGTACCCTCGCAGCCTGCTAATGGCCAGGTCATGGGTTCGAGTCCCGGCAGCGTGAGTTTTTCTCACAAAATAAAATCCTGGTCTAGGATGAAAGCGACGCGCTGCAAAGCTCGTTGTTAGTAAACCATAATGAATGATAATCGACTTCGTAGGTCGCGAGGGAAGGGATTGCTGTACCCTTCTCGCGATAAAAATATCTCAGGCAGGAACCGCAGGAGGGGGCCCAACCCCCCCCTGCTGTGTGACCCCGGTTGGGTCGTCTAGCTAGTAGAAGTGGAGGATAGGGGCCAGAGGGGCAGAAGACAGAGTCCAATGATGGGAGAAAAACTCCGTCCACGAACGTATCCCAACCGATACGTGCGAAACACAGAAAATCAATAGAAAAACCATCTCCGGATGTCTCGTCGAAGTGGCCGTGCCAAGATGCAAAACGTGCGCCGCCCCTCCTGTGCCACAATCGAAACAATCAATCCATTGTTCGGCCGAAACGCACAAGAGCACTCAAGCGATTTGTCATGAGCTAAAAGGCATTGCAACACATCTATCCACTGCGCAGGGAGCTCCATCTCACGAACATTGGGGGTTGTCGCCCTCCTCGGCCTCCTCACCCCCTCCTCGTCGTCGTCCGTCTCTATCAACACCCACGCCCCAACGGGGGCGTCTTTCTCCGTATTGTATGCCTCCAACGGTAACTGGTTGCTGCTGTCAGCGTGCAGAGTAACACGGTAGTCGTAGTCACTTCGAGTGTAGTGAGCTCTGCGAGTTACAACCCCGCCGGACCATCCCAGGCCAAGTTTTACAAGCACTCCACGCTTCACTAACGACTGGTCTAGCGACGGTGGTGGAATCGCTCGAAGCCGACATCCATCTGGGATATCCATTCCAACCTGGGCCTCCCCATCGGACAGCTCGTCGTCGTCATCGAGCAGAGACATCGGATCCAGCGTGGTGCCGTTGTCGTCCTTGCCATCTGACAGATCGCAAAAGAGAATAAAAAGGGGTACACAACACAGCCGTGAGTCGAAGAGCCGAGTTTTTTTTATCTCTCATGCCTTTGTGGGCGTGTGTTTTCTTATTCGCATGTTTCTTATCTTTGCGTCCGTTTTGAGGTGTGTTTCTTAGTCACTTTTTCTTATTTTTCTTCAAAATTTGAGGGTTATTTTGAATGATGTTGTGTTACCTAATGTCACTGCTGTAGGACTTCGCTCAAAGGTAAACGCATCCACAATTGAGCACGTCCACGGGCACCGAGGGCCGTCTACACTTTACAACCCAAACCTGACCCCGACCAGTATGGACCAGGAGGCGTACAGCAGTATCGTGCCCTATCTATGCATCAGCAGTGATGCCCGTATCCGCGTTTGCTGCTATGTGTACCTGATTGCGGAAGATATTGAACGTGACGCCAATACCACGCCTGCCTCTCCGCAGTAACGGCCACATCCGCGTAGCTGACGCCAGCAATCACCCCCGCATGGTAGACTCCACAGAGTCCGGGGTGCTACTTGGCGGCTTGGACGCGCTGATCGCGCGTCAATCCTGTTGCTAAGGCTCCTGGCGGCTCGTCGTGACTACATGACGCCGTTCCGACCGCAACGGCAGCATCGAAGACAATTTCTCGGACGCGTGCAACATCATGCTCGGACGCCTCCTTGACCTGGATAAGGATGGCATGGCTGTCTCCACCGTTGAACTCCTCGACGAGGGGAGTGCCGGGGTATGCGTTGGCTGCGATGGGCTATCGTAGTGTGGCGTTGGACGGGAGGAGTGGAAGCGGATGAGGATATCGGCGCGATGTGACGATGTGCGGCAGGTGCTCGCTGCAGCCCAGCAGGTTCAACAGCGAAGTTGCGCCGCGTCAATCAGCGCTTGGTCAGAAAGCGCTACCGGGCCCAACTCTTAGAAGCACCTTGCTTGCCCACCGATGAAAGGAGGCTCCGTGCAACGTAGGGCTTTGGATTGAAGGTGTCGCATTCCCTCTAGAGGAATATCTTGAAAGCCTCTTTTTCGTGCTCCGTTTACCACGCTTGCGCCAGATGTTCTCTAAAAGCCGTATCAAATGTCCCCTCGATTATTCGTTGTCTAAAAGCCGTATCAAATGTCCCCTCGATTTGAGGGGGCATTTGATGGGGCTTTTAGAGTTGAGACGGCCCCGGCGGGCGCTGTTCTCTTGTACACCATGTTTGCGTGTTTGCTTGTCGTTAGTGGTCTCTCCACCGTGTGCCTTTTTCTGTCTCTTATTTCTTTTTTTTTTCGGCCTGGTCCCATTTTGTCCTCCTCGCTCTGTTTATTTCATTTTCTCTTTCCTTATTACTGTTTCCTTTTTTTTTCTTCTCTTTTTCTCGTTTTCTCTTTTTCATCAGTCCGCACATACAAAGGTACTTGGGTAGAGAGAGATCGGAACGGTTTTTGATGTCAAGTCAACAACAACACAGGCCACGGACTGTCCATCATCGCCCAATGAGAAAGCGATTTTGTATCTTTCCCTTTTTTTATCTTTTTCGCGTTCCAAGGGGTTAGTAATTTTTTCTTAACGGCGGGCCGCGACTGCTGTATGCCTGCCACTATACACACAACCCATATCAGAGCGGAGTGTCTATGCACAACATGAAAGGGTGATGACCCGAGACCCGTTCGAGAAAACACCCTGTTCGGCGAGGGAACCCTACTGGATTTACAGCAGAGCAATAATTATGCGAGGCTCCTCCGGAGATGCAGAGATCTCGTAGATCGGAGACAGCTTATCTCACGGCGGTCTTTCATTGGCCATGCCTGAGAGGCTCGCGACATCTACGAAGTGCGAACCACCTGCCAAAACAAACTGGGCAACCGTGATGGCCGCCCGGGGCCTACCGTGCCGTGCAAGGCGGGAGGGTCGTACAATAGCGGCAAACGAAGGCAGGTGTATCTGTCCTTCTGGCATCCTACACGCACAGGCAGACCCACCGGCCGGAGATACAGTCGGCGCTGCTGCCACAAGCGGTACATCTGTCCTTGATCCTCCCACTACCAAGCGATGACGTCCGATACAGTCTATAACTTGGTGGGCGTTCTCGGAGGTTCGTTCCTGGCCGCGTCATTGTTGCCTCAAGTTTACCGCGTCACCGTGCGAAAGAAAGCCGCTGATATAAGCCACGTGTACCAGGTGGGTGGGTATGCTGCCAACTTCATGTATCATATCTCCAAAAAACATACTTCTATCTAGTGTGTGTTTCTGCTGTATTAGCATCGACAGCGTATACGCCGGACGCGTTTCCGACCAAGGGGCACACGAAAGATGACCCCCGCTGTGTGAGGCGGGGCACAGGACGAATTTTGATTTTGACTAGTATTGAAAACAAACGCAAGAGAACCAGAAAATTGCACGACAGACGCACCAGACCAGCAGGAGGAACGCACCGCGAATTCAGAAATCGTTGATTGTCCCTCAGGGAGGGCGGCAGTAGGGGCTGCTCCAAACATGCATTTCACGCGTCTGCCTCCACACGCCTCGTTTGAAATCAAGATAAAAATTCACACCGTTCTCAATGGTTGTCGAAAGAGCCAAAACGTAAGGCGCTCAAACAAGGTCAATTTTGAGTGTTAGGGGTCGCATTCTACTGACATCGGGGTGGACCTAGTCAAAAAAATGTTGCATTGCAAATCGAAATCGAAATTAGATTTAGATTTTGGATTTCGGGTTGGCTCTTGTACACTTTACACAGCGCAGGCGGGGAATCGAAATCGAAAATCAACCTGGAAGAGGCGAACAAGGCCCGTACATGCCAGTTGCGATGATTCAAACCATGACCATGAGAGCCACACGGCATCCAAGATAGCGAACGATAGCTCCGAACAACGGCCATGATCAGGCGGAGCTGTGTGCGGTTAAATGCTGCGTGCTGGTGTAGGAAAGCCAAAATAGCTGCCGTTGAACTGCGTTTACAAAGAAAGAATTTCACGGCGATGACTCTCTCTATCTCAACTTGGAGCAGATCTTGCTCAGCGCAAGTATACCATGCTCTGCTGGATGTCAGGTTTCTGTCAAGCTCTTGCTTGCATCACCAAGCAGACTGTAGGTGGCTAGACGAGTATCGAAATGGAGGCATGCACGATTCTGTGGGGGTGTGGCAGCCAGCTTGATGTTCCGGTTGGCATTTTCGATTTTCGATTTCGAGTCTGTTCGTGCTCGCTTTTGATTTTTCCATATCGGAGGATATTCGGAACACTTACCCCCAGATCGGAAAACCGGCGGCGGAACACCGGGGCTCTGTCCAATCAGCCAATCAGTGACATTTTCGATTTTCGATTTTCGACGGAATAATGGTCTGACAAGGTCCACCCTCAGTATAGGACATCATGGAAGAGGCCTCGTGCGTGCTGGCACGTTCAGGTTTGCTACTGGAGCTGAAATATCGAAAGTCGCAGCAGCCTCGTAGTAAAACAGTCCGAAATCTGCGCCGGAACCAAGCGGCATCCAACATTTGTCACAGCCGTGCTGGCCGCCACTGACCCCAATCTCCTGAACTGCGGGTTTACAGCAGTAGCTGATGCCAAAATTACCTACTTCTGACACGTCCATTCAGGGGTTTACGGTCCGTGGCGGTGAGCACGGTTGTGACCCATGTTGGATGCCGCTTGGTTCCGGCGCAGATTTCTGCCTGTATTCAGAGGCTGCTGCGACCTTCGACATTCCAGCTCCAGTAGCAATCCTGAACGTGCCAGCACGCGCGATGCCTATTCATGATGTCCTCTACTGATGACTATAATAGAATGCGACACCCAACCCTGGCGGGAAGGTTGTTTTCTTTCGTTGTATGGGATTGAAATATGGGAATAAGAACCAGCGTCACAACCCCTTTTCTGCCCCCCCTTAACATGCTTTGCTGCATGCAGGGATGTATGTCGATCACCGCGCTCGAACAGGGTACGTACCGTCCGCAAATGAGCCCCCGGGGTTATTCAACGTATACCTTCGACCCTTGTTCGTTGGGAACCAGGTTGCTACAGATGGCGCCCGCAGTTCAGAAACGTCAAAATCGGGTCGAACCTTAATCCCTTATTTTTGGGTCAAAGGATCAGCCTAAGTCGTCCGTTTTGAGACGTATTTTTTTTTCCTTTGGACTGTCGCATCCTCCTGATTCTCTTATTTCTTGCAAGTCGCATTTTCTCATATCTTCCTTTTGATCTTCGACGACAATCCACGTCTTCAAGCCTTAAAGAGAGGCGGTGGCGAGTGCCGTTAAACCCGTACAGCAGACACCATGTGCTTGTGCACGATGTGTAGCAGGACCACTCTCCCTCGTGCAAAAAAACATGCACTCTTCAGCTAGGTACGGACCGAAGGAACAGCAGTGGGACGTTTTTTACTGGACACGCTCCCCGTGCTAACCCTTGTTTCTTACACCGTGGGGGTATCGCACCATCATGTTTCTTGTTGAGGCGTTTCTTATGTTGTTGCCGAGATTGAGCTGTGTTTCTCAGCCCTTTTTTTTCTATTTTTCTTTCAAATTGAGCCATTTTTTCTCTTCTGCGGGCGCTATCTGTATGCTGCGCAAGGTGATGAGCTTACCGCAAATGAGCCTTCGGGGTTATTCAACGTGCCATCCCCGGGTGGTATTCAACGTGTACTCTGGACATTTTGTTCGTTTGGAAGCAGCTTGCTTTGTGTATGCTGTACAAGGTGGTGAACTGGCTGTGTCTTGCTGTCACTGCTGCTGCAGCCCGTCTGTGGTTTCAGCTTTCTACATTCTACTACGTTACAATGCAGATGCAAATGTTGACATAAGAGCTTGTCACGAAACTCATGTTTTCATTTTCGGCCAAGCGAGGTTTAAAAAGGACATGTAGTATTTGTGTTTGTCTGCTGTACCTGCTGCTGTTGCTGCGGTGTGTGCTGCTGTCCTGCCGTGCTTGTGCTGTATGAGGGGGAGGCGCAGGTCGATTTAACCCCCCCTCGCTTGGTGATGTGAGAGCCTGGTCTGGTGAGAGCCCGGCGTGCTCCCGTTCGGCTTTGTAGGGATACGAGGTCAATGGTCTAACGACTACGGCATGCAGGATTATGACTACCCCCCCCCCCCCTCCAGTGACGGGGCTCCGGAACTGAAAAAAAACGGAAAATAACTGGCAACTTCAAGGGTACCTACCGCTGAACCTTGTAACCGGTTATAGCCGGTGCACGATTATCGACATCCCTGTTTAACTTCTGCTGCTGATTTCGAGATTAAATTTGCTTGATGGACAACGAAAGGCACTGCTTCGCGGTTGTAGGACTTCTAGCAGATTGGCTGTCGGATACGTCATGTAAAGGAGGTCAAGCTTGATTACCAGAACAAGATCTCTGTAGAGCACCGATTGACGATCTGCTGGGTTCTGGGGAGCAAGAACGGGCAATCTTCGTTGCACCGGTTCGGTAGTGCTTCAACAAGAGATTCCTGCTACGCGGGCACTTGTCCCGAAAACCCGTTGGAGATTCCTCACCCTAATAAGTGTCCAGTGTTCGGGTTGTTGTTATCTACGCCGAGTAAAAGCAAGTATTCTCTCCGTCTTCTTTCTCATACTTCCGTCTCGCACCTACCTGGTCTTCCATTCGCTTTTGAGGAAGGTCAAGGTTTCCGTGATGGCAGGGTGATGGCGATTAAAGTAGTCGAATCCATAGAAAATGAGAAAGAGTACAGGCAGACATCATAGTCTACCCGTATGCGGAGAAACAGAAATCCTACAACAACAGCAGACGTACATGCATACGTCCACCAGACCAGGGACGGCAAAAACACCATATACCTGCTGTGTTTTCGTAAAGTAAATACGACGACTGCTGGTAGTTCCCCCACAAAAAGTACAAGTGTGGGGGCGGGTTTTTGTGCAAAAACATGATGAAGGGAAAAATGCACCTTGCCCCCAGTCAAGAACCGCGTATATGGGACAACCCTACTGCTGTAGCGCATTATCTGCCAGTGGAAGCCTTTGGGGATGGGGTTGGAGCCTTCGATGTACATGATCTATCTCACTCACGGAAGTTTGATCAATGCTGTAGGTTGCCCGGCCGTACTCCTTCTACTTGAGCTCGTTTTTTTGTGTTCGTGCGGTCTGGGGCACGCGGCAGTTGAGCCACACCTCTAGTCACTACTTCTTGCGAAGCAATAAAGGCCCACAAGACATGGAGCCGTATCCTTCCTACAGAGGGTTGAGGAGGGATCGGATACAGCAGTAGCTCGCTGTTGTTGTGGGCGTTATTGGTCCTTTCCTGGTCGCTTATGAAACATCTAGGCTATACCCGCCCCCCACCCTTTGCGTTATCACGCAACGGCGAGGGTTTTTACTGCTCTGCCCTCAGAAAAACGCGTGTTTCCACCCTCCTCTCGTTCGTCTGCCCGGTTGTTCAGGCGGTTTTCGTGACGGGAGTGGTCATGTTCCTCGTGTTCTACGGGTACTACGAGGTGTGTAGGGCCTTCCGTGTGTCTGTCGATAGCGTGTCGAGGGTAAATGAGATTCGCGTGGTGCACAAACCAACTCATTACTATAGGCTAAAGTTGGTTGTTGTTGGCGGTGGGGAGGCCTGCAAATACATTGCCTTGGCGCGTGTCAGGAAACCTGATCTCGCTCCACCCGTTCACTCAAGAGTCGCCCACTGCCTTTTACCACTCTGTGTACCGGCAACGTCGATTCCTGAAACGTCCGTTAGCCGGTGGTCTACGTGCCAGCGACATTCGCACCGCGGTTCCCGCCTGCAAGCGTGCATATTTTTCTTCCCCCGGTCTTGTTCAGGCCTTCTTGTGCACTCCCCGAGGTCTCGGGCCAGATCCGATGGTTGAACCGCCGTTCTTGCTGTTTCTTTCCAACCACCGCGCTTGCAATCTTCTGGTGCAAGCGTACTACCGCCACTTCGATTGATCGGGCCCACGACGACTACTCCGTTTATCCCCGGCGTTCAGATTTCTCATTGCAACTCCGCGTCGCCGCTTCTTTTTCGACGTCGTGCTGTTCTCATCCTCAGCTCTGGGAGTTGTTCTTCACAAACCTTATTTCCCTGTCGCTCCAGATCTACCTGGTCATCTTCAAGCTCCGCCTAGAGCGATGCCCCCGCCGACATACGGCGGCTGCGCCCTCGACGGTCGCTAGCGAAACGCCCGGCGAAGGCGTAACGCTTGACGACGAGTCAAGCGAGAGAAGTCCTCTGCTGAAGTCGGCCTAAGTTGCGATGATCGGCTTGGGGTCTCCGCGCGCCGCCAATATAACAGAAAGCCTTGTTCTGACAAGCACGAGGAAGGCCTTTCGCGGAGGGTGGTTTCCTTCTGGGATCGAGAGACTAGCTTTACGGCCCATACCGATGATTTCAGGCTTGCAAGAACCGCCAGAAATACTGGTCAATGCGAACTCGAGGGTCGGGGTGTAAATAGTGCCGGCCTGGTGAAATCTCGCAGCTCCCGAGACACGTCGCAGCGATGAACAGCGGACGAGGAACTCAAACTCGCGCGCGTTTCAGTTGTGATGCGCCCTGTAAACAGTTGCTGAGGGGGCCTTTTTTTTTCGGCGTGTACAGGCAGCGGTATGCAACCGTCATTGAAGCATGGCGGGCTTTGCGGCGATCGACGAGGTAGTGCTGCTCGAACGACGCACACGAAACCCGTGAGAAGATGTTGATAGGCGGTGATAGCTCTTGCGCGAAGAGTTGCGTGCGACCATCGAGTAGCACAGCCAAAGTTGTATTCATTTGTTTTACGCACGTGCGGCGTAGACGTTTGCCACGTGTGACATTTTGTTTATGAGTGCACGACAGTGGTAGAAGACATGGAATTGGATTTCGCGTTTCTTCAGGCACCATGTCGACAATTTTCGGCAAGTGGCCAAATTCTGTGTGTGACACCCAGGGCTCGTGATAGTCCTGTGTGTTGTATTTATTTTTGGTGCACCATGATTATGCCAGGCTTGAAAGCAAACTGCTCAATAACCAATTGGCGACCACCACATATACGCATGCCACGTGACACCTCGCTCATAGGAGAAAAAACGCGGCGCGTTTCGCCAGCGCTACGTCACGTCTGACGCCTCAAGTGGACGCAGCAAAGCGTGTGCGTTTTGTGTGTGGGCGTGACGAAGGGGAGGAGAGGTTCGAAGAATAAAATACACGAGAACGATGAGAGACAGACCGCATCTTGAGCACCAGCTCTTCGCGGGGGAGGGTGGTCCAACGCATTCAAACAGCTTGTTCTCTTTCGAAGCTCTCGAGAGACTACAGGGCTTCCCTTGTCTGAATGTTCCGCTTGGCACCTAATCAATTCCGCGAGAACACGTCCGCGATAGAGCTGGGTAGATGCCCGGTCACATTGTTTTGGGGTTGGGCGGAGTGCATTTGCCAAGAAAATAATGTTCCCCGGTAGTTATACTTTCGGTTTTTGGGGAAAGCTCTAGTGCCAAAGTCGGGCCCTCGAGGGAAGCCACGAGTCATTTAGTGCATTGTATCGAAACCGTTACAACGCCAAATTCTGCTCAATACAACCCAGGCACCAACCCAGTCCACGGCATCCTCTGAAAGGTAGGCAACCTCCGTCCAAATGGACACAGCCTACGCCTTATGTTCACTTTTAGTCCTGCAATATAGTCTAAAACGCGCAAAACCAACCAAATCAAACTCACATTGATGCCCACAAATATGCAAGTACAATAAATAAACGTCCTGAATAAATCGTCTAACCAGCAACTAAAGTTTGTTGCCCGAAGCGGTCTGCGTACTTCTTCTAGTTGTACGTGATCAGCTTCTCCTCTACAGCTTCTCTTTCATTTTTCTTTTCTAACGACGCGGACTATCGCGCCGTTGATGCAGCCGGTCGGAGAGTATTAGCTTCCCCCCGAAGGAGAACATGCATGTGGGATAAGGTACTGCAGCAACATGTTACGCAAAAAATCGAAAGGAGGTCCACCCTACTCAACGGAAATGCGAAAAAACAAAGGTATCCAAACGCTTGGGAACCAATTGCGCAACGCAAGGGGGATGAAAATGTGAACGAACATGTTCTTTTAAGGGCCCAACACGACAAATCGAAACACCGGCGGCAACTCTTCTCTCTCCCACTTGGGAGTGCCAGGTTGAAAGCAACCCTTCTACAGCTGTCTTGCTCCCCAAAAATTAAATACTGCTGTACAACCCTTAAACGCGCGAGAGGTAGCCTTTTCAAATCAGAAGCGGCCTCCGCCCGGAGAAGTCTAGAACCGTCGACTTTTGCCGGGTTTCGGGAGGTACGCCGGCCACTCCATTAGTCAAATCATGCCGACACGAAATGTCCGCTTGCCGTGTTGACTGGAGTGCCAGAATACGATGCGAGTAAAAAACGGTCCTTTCTTCATGAACAAGGCGCCTCGTGTCATGCGTGCATGATTCCCGCGAATAAGAGTAAAAATATAGCAAAACGACGTCCACCGCACACAAATCAATCATATAGACACAGGACACCATACAGTGGCTTAAGGGAAACTTCGCATGGTACATACGACCCAGCACCCCGCTGACGGGCTTCTGCATTTTTCCCTCCCTCCCTCCCTCCCTCCCTCCCTCTTTCTCTCTCTCTCTCTCTCTCTCTCTCTCTCTCTCTCTCTCACTCGGCTGAACCTTGCGAATGAATCGGCGTCGGGGTCGTGANCTCTCTCTCTCTCTCTCTCTCTCTCTCTCTCTCTCTCTCTCTCTCACACACACACAGCTTCGAGGCATTCTTTCTTGGGCATTGTCGTCAAAGGTAGGATAAAACTCACTGATGTCTACAGTAGTGGTCGGCCCGAAAAACGCCCGACCGCGCACGAACACTACCGTGAACGCTGAGACTGACGTGCTTTCATCGGTCAGCCGGTTGGCGCGGTCGATGCTAACAAAAAAAAAAAAAACACCACCACACACCACCACACTCACCAACCTCGCAGGCAGTGTTGGGGAGGTAGGATTCTCTGGAAGCTGTAACCTCTCCAGCATATATGGCCAATGGACCTGACAGAGGATCAAGCTTCGGGAAGAGCTAGCCGCTTGGCCTTGCAAAATTTCGCCCCAACCTGCTGCTGCACACTACCAAGGTCACTTGGAACATAGACTCCTGTGATTTTCATCGACAGCTCGAGAACACTCGACGTGATCGGGACGGGATCACAGGCTACCACGAGCTCATGAGGGGCTGTGCATCGCTTGAGGTGTTTGTCATCCTTTCGCCATCGCCGGGCGTGTCTCCAACTGCCACCGATGCCCCTGCCGCCGCCGCCCTAGGTCGGAGAGGGAACTCTTCCATCCGGATCTTCGCGGCGAGCAGCAAAATCACGAACGACATCGATATGAGGGACGGGAAGAACAACTCCCAGAGCTGACGAGAACGATGGGGGGGGGGGGGG